CAGCTGTTTCTGTAACTGCTCAATTTTTGTTGTTCCTTGTTAAACACAGACATAGTGATTTAATAAACTCTCAGTGCTGAGTTATGTACCAGCACCAGAGTTAACTGCTCTTGTATGATGCCAAGAAGGCTCTTAAAAAAAAAATCAAGATCCAAATTTTTCAAGTGAGTAACGTTTTTCCCAGTGGAAGAGCTCAGCTCAACATCCCAACCAAGGTGCCGGCGGACATCTCATGTACCAGCCACTCCATTAGCCACCACTTGCCCTGCCCCAGAGCTGCTGAGGACGACAGGTGACAGCAGGGGTAGCAATAATTCCCACTAAGACAGATTTACTGCCTGACAAAAGGAAGTAAACCTCAACCCTCCTGGAATAACCCATGTCCCAACACTGCTGTGAAATGAGGAAAAGGCTGTGGACACTGTAGGGCAGTATGAAGAGCTTCACTGATTCTGGTGTGGGTGTCCTGAACTGAACCCCTGGTTCCTGGATACTCCTCTAACTATAAGCAGGAATTTGATGTCACCTAAATAAGCCATACTGAATCAGCTCTAATAACTTTATGTTCTTAGTTGCTTTCATGTGTTTATAACTGCTCTTCTGGAGCAGGCCTGGAAAGACTGTGGAAAAAGGAGCAGTAAGTCTCTGCTCTCATCTCAGGCCAAAAGCCAATGATTTGTAGAAGCCTGAGGAGTACATATGGGAGGGTGTGTGGGTGTCCACGAATGCAGGTGTGGAAAGGTGATAGTAGCCTGGAGGACTGGGATTTATGATCATTCCAGAAGTATGCCAATGAATAAAATGTTCATAATAATATTTAGAGCTAGGTCAATATATATGGATTTATGAAGCCATTTAAGGAATATACAAATAGACAACAATTTATGAGGATGTGAGGAAATACATCATTAGAGTAAGGATGCACCATATAAACTCATCAACCACTCTAGGATTTACAGCCACGTATAGGAAACTACTACTAAAAGCAAGATTGAAGGTCGTATAAGCCCATCTAATCATACATCTTCTTTTCAGAGAAATCACTGCCAGTGCTGCAGTGACTGTGGAAACTTTACAGCACTTATGCCAAACTGGCTGCCCCAGGTGCGGGAGTCATGCTTAGACAGGCTGAGCCCCACACTGTGGAAAGCCAAGGGAAGCATAAGGTATCCCCATCGTCACCATGAAGGCGGTAGTCAGGAGAGATCAAGATAGGTGAAAGAGTCATTGGCTCCTCTGGGCTCCCTGGGGCCCCAAGCAAACTGAAATTGTTCCTGCTGTTGGGAACTCTATGTAAGCACAGCATCTACAGCTCTCTTGTGGCAATTTCATCTCAACCTCAGACCAATAAAATGAGTATTTCCCAAGGGGTGATGCTCACCTTTCCTCTCGTTAAAGCCAGGAAGTGGGCTGTGAGGAAGAAAATATGTGGTGATGGAACAGCTCCCAAACCACCGGTACTGAGGCAGGGCTGCCATCCAGCATGAGAATTTGAATAACATCCCATTACTCTTTATAAGTGAATATTTTTCCATGTGGATTTTTTGGCACATTCATTGTTTTCCATACTTTGGCAGACAAATATGGTCCTAATTTAATGAAGCATCATGTGCAAAACTGAATTATAATAATTCACGTTAGTACTTCAGCCAGTTTCACCAATGATGATTACGGAAAACAGTCTGTTAAAGAAAAAAGGACTTTAGTCATAAGGAACCATTGCAGAAGAATATCAGTACCAGTGACATTCAAGAGACTGGGGTGAATTGTTTCTATATTTACACATACATATATATTTGTTTATAGAATTTAGCCCATGCATTCTAGGCTCTGTGCAAATGTTCTTTAAATGGACTGTGGATTAAAAAAAGATTTTTGCAAAAGATTGTTCTGTGTTTCAGACCTAGTTTCACATCACACAAGAAGCATTTGTCCCAGGTATCCTTGATTCATTATCAGTTAGAAGGATTAAGCAGTCTCTACTTGCTTTACTTGATTCATTAATCATCCTTTTAATGATGCAAAAGAAGCAAAAATAGGAGCAAGAAAAGAGAAGTAAAACTAAATTTTAGGGAGTAAAGGAAATAGAATAGTTCTGCACACACACAGAGGATCAAGTCATTACCATTGTCACATTTTTTCAGCAGCAAAATTAGCCTTTAATGGATAAAAATTCTGTGATGGATTAACATCAATGCTGGGAAATTTCCAGGGCTGGGAACTAATAATTTCTGAAGTTTTATATGGTGCTGTTGTATAAACAGCCCTCACTGTAGACACAACCCTGCAAAAAGAGACATTGAGTTTTCCCAGGTCCAGCTAAATTCCCTGAGAGCCAAGGCCAGCCATCCCTACCAAAAGTATCTTTGCACCTTGAGACTGAGAATAGCACCTTGAAACACTCAAAAGGCTCGTGGTCAGCCTGGTCCACATTGCTTGGGGTTACCTTCTCGCCCTTGGAGATACTCAAAACCTGTGCCTAGGGCAAGGCTCTGAGCAGCTGGCAAAATTGAACCTGCTTTGAGCAAGGGCTTGGATGTGAGACCTCTGGTGATGCATCCAACCTTGGTTATTCTACAGTTGGTGTAACTTCTGCCTGACAGTACCAAAGGGTAGGATTCACCTCCCCTGTCTTTGGTGACCTTAAAGTCAGAGCCTGGTCTATGGGGGAGAGTCAGTGGAGGAAGAAAATAAATTCAAAAGATAATTTATCCCATTTTAAGACAGCAGGGCTAAATTGCGACCAGGAGTTGCTGCCTTCCTCCTCTGCTCACAGAGGCAGCCTAGGCAACAGATTTTGATTGGGCTCTGGTTTTCAGGCAGCTGGTGCTACAAGAGGTGAATGCTCACTCTTCAGCCAGACAAACAGAAAAAACCTGGATGCAAATGGCCACATCTCCCTATCACAAAAGGTTTGAGAGCACAGCACTGAAATCTTGAGCACTCAGTGCCCTTTCCTAAGTACAAGAAATTTCCTCTTTTTCCCCTCCAGGACATTAAACATTGGACTTGCCACAAAAAGGAGAAGTAGCAAGAGTACAGCAGATATTCTCTTGATAATTTCCTTCTCCTTTGTGGACTGTTTTTATTTTGCTTCCTGTTGCTAGCCTCTGAGAACAAATGTACTGTGTTTTTACAGCATGTGCTGAAAGAGTAAAACTTGTGGAGCACTGAGTATTAACCAGTTCCTAGAAGAGGAGCTTGAATATCTCTTCTCCAAGTTGAATCTCTCTGAGCTAGTCCTTATAGCAAGAGGGTGGTGGTGCTCACAGAAGCAGATACTTAAAAAGCAGAGGAGGGCCATAGCATTATATACTAACCTGTATATCCAGCCATTCCCTTCAGCTGATTGCCAGTCACTACACGGGATATCAGCTTTACTGTTCCCATTTCACAGAAAGGAAAGTAACAGGGAAGAAGGGGTAGGGGAATTCAACCACAGACTCAGGACTGACTCCAAAATCATCATGCAGAGCCGAGTTTGTCGCAAAGTCTCCCCTGGCTTGGCCTGTGTTTAACCCCATTCCTACCATGGCTGAAGATGAGGGGATTTTTATCTGTGCTTAGTGATTCAAGGTACAAACGATGGGAAAATGTGTTAGGAGAGGGCAACAGGAAAAGGAGTGAATATGTTCTCTTAAGCGGACTGTGCAACGTCATAAGAAGTGTTAAGTTTCTTCTTGCAATATAGAATATCTGATTAAAACAAATGCAATCTGCACACAATTCAATAAAAAACAAATGTTCCATTTTCCACTTCTTCTTGCTACAGCTGTTTGTTTTAAACATATAAAGATTAAGGGAACAGTCTTGAATTTAATTAAATCCCAAAAGAACTAATGATATTTATGCATATTAAATTTTTAAAGGCACTTGTGGCTTGTTCAGCCAATCATTCACTGGACTGTCATAACATGCCTCCCAACCCTAATTTAAATTAGAAAGAAGAGACTCATGAAAAAAATGTGCAGACAGTAACCTTTTCACTGCACATATGTTTAAGAGATAAACGCCCGTCTATGTTTAAAAGGCAACAAATCTAATAAATGGCCACATCATCATAATTCAACAGTGGAAAAAAATCAATGTTACAAATTTTGGAACTACATCTCTCAAGAAAGTAAATTAAAACATCAATTCAAACCTACTTTAAAGAGTTTATAAGGGGAACATTGATATATTAACACAAAAACTCCCAGATCACTCTAGATGAAGCTGGGGCTTTCCCAGAGCTGTGATGTAGGGAGCAGCATTTGGTGGGGCCGTCTTTGGAGCACAGCAGGAAGCCCCACTCTGTTGCTTGCTTTTCCCCTTCTCTAGCAAAGTCATCCCCTTCTCTAGTCCTATACCTTCAATAAGCCAACAGGTACATTAGGACCTGGGTCTCTGATGAAGTGAGAGGAAAATGCTTTCTTGCTTTTTTTTTGCAGTAAATCAAGAAAGCCTCTGATGTAGCCCTGAGTAAGTCTCTGGTCCAAAGCTACTATGTCTGAACCTTCCCCCTTGTTCCCAAGTTGGCTGGAAATGCAGGCTAAGAAGTTGCAAGCCCTCCTATTCTTCCACCCTGCATAATTTCCCTGCCTTGTGTACCTGCCATGTTGTTATCCCAGTTCATATATAGTCATCTCTCCCACCTCAAGTAACAGACTCCTCCTCCCTGCATCTCCTAAACACTAATAAAAGTGTTCCACCTATCTTCCAGCGTTGCCGTACAGCATTAACCATAGATAACTTTGAAAGCTCAATAAAGTACAACTTCTTGCTTAATAGCAAGTCCCAAATACTGCTCCTTCTCTCACAAGAAATTCTGCTGACCTTCTTGAGAAAGGATTCAGACTCTGTTTAGAAAAGCACTTCCTTGCCTATGGTTAAGCCTGTTTTTATGGTTTATCAATCATAACAGGAAAAGGTCCAGCCGTTAAGTACTGCTGTGTTCCTGTTTATGAGACACTCTTCAATCTCACTTTGCTGATATGACACAGCTTTTGCCAGCCACTTACCTATCAAATACTCCAGCCAGAATTGGTCCGTCTCTGGCTGGTAGGGTCGGTTGAAGTCAATCTGGATTTGGAAAGCCTGTCCCCGACGCACTATCAGCCTGGGACTGTAGTACTTGTCAGTGTGGTGCTGCTGCTTGTTCATCTCATGGGGCTCCTTGAACATCTGAATGTCCACAACACGCAGGTAATCTGCAGAGACACGTAAATGAGCAGAGAGGGAAGGAGTCAGTATGTTTGAATGTCAATATTGATACCAACACCATTAGAGGCCCTGTCCTCCCCTTCCCCAGCGTTCCCTCATTGAGGAACACCGTGCAATGGAGCATGCTGGATCTGTTTGGGTCTTACATCCTCCTGGCTGAGCAAGGACTTATGGACTGACACTTCTCTGTCCAGCTGCCATTTTCACAGAAGCCGCAAGGCTTGTAATGAATGGTGAAAGCAATCACAGAAAGGGAAGGTTGCTATGGGTGGAAAGCTAAATGTCCCCATGGAGAACTGGGCTCCAGCTTTCCTTTGGCATCAGCTTTCTGCAAGCCTGGGCCTTGCTGTCACAAGTTTATCAGTGCAAACAGCGGGGCTTTGACAGCTGTGGCTTCATGTTTCCCTTCTTGCAGACCTTCATTTGTAAATTGCAAATTCACAGGGGTTTTGTGATGCTTAAATACATTAACGTTTGGAAAGTGCTACTGCTATCAAGTGCTGAAGAGACTGAGAGGCAGTTAATGATTTTACACTCAGCTGAGGCTTGGATTGTCTGTATTAGATAAGGTTTTGGTGTACTGTATGTGTCTAGACTCAGCTTCTCAGTACACCTCCACTGCTATTACTTTCTCCTTATGAAAACTAAATATAACATTACAGTATGCAATTACAGCATAGAGTTATAGGCAAACAGCAGTAGGTATCTATGACATGCATGGACAGAGCTTTGCTCCTTTCAAATTAGGTCTGTCTAAAGGGTTATAGCCTACTGCTACTGAAGTTAGTTTGTTCAGCTAACAACCAGTGTGGGGTGGCATTGGGTTAGCCAAAGGCACTTGCAGTCACCACAAGCTACATGAGTGTACCATACTAGGAATCTTCACAATGGGAGTCTTCTCACACAACGAACAACCACATGAGAACAAACTGGACATCCTTCTTTCGCCTACACATTTGGGCAGATAACCATGAAACCTCTCCCAGGAGGACCATTACTGCTCACAACCAGGAGAGAGACAGAAGAGTAAAGCTTGAATTGCATCTTTCAGCTTGTCTTTCCAGCTGCTGACAGTTAGAAACTAGCTAATTTCTGTGTTTTATACTGATGATGACGGAGTCAAACTCATGCCTGGCAAAAAGAGATGCACATTTAAAGCAGCTGGTGGAGCTGTGTGTTACTCGTGATGGTGGCTAATTTGGCGTGCTATTGAGTACACTGTGAGCAGGAAAGATGAATGAGCAAATGAGTGGGATATTCAAGTCAGCGAGGGCTGAATGCAGCCCATTCCACAGAAGCTCAAATGACAGCTTTGCACACCAGTTTTCCTTGAAGGCAGGAAGACACTGAAGAGGTCAGCTCTGGACAAGCAGCAGGGCTGCCTCACATTGTGTCTGTAGCCTCCAGACTACAGAAGCTCTTGTATTAACCCTGCCCTTCTGCAGGGATGTGCTCAAGATATTGCGGAGCTGTGCAGGCAGCGATGCCCTGGGCACCAGCATGGTCCTTTTTCTGCTCTGGCCAAGCCACCCAGTCTGGACTCTGAGTGACAGCTAACAGAGAGGGGGAAAGAAGGGCAGCAGGAACAGGTCCCGCTCGTGCATTGTCGCTATCGGCTGCCCAGCTCTGCCCTGCAGGAACCAGAAGGAAAGGAAACTGCCCGAGGACATGGCAAGATGAGGATCCTTTCATGGAAAAGTCCTGAACCCAAAACCATCCACCTCCTGCTAACCCTAATCTGTGTAAAGGCTGGAATACCCTGTTCAATCCTAAGGCAGGTTTAAAGTCCCATGGCAATGTTACTGTTATTCTCTGTTCAATTCACCAGGCTTCTGGAGCAACTTCTGTAGATTCTCACTGGCTTTACCACTGGCTGAATTTACAGAGGTGGTTTTTGTGTGAAATATTAAATGTGTTTTGCTTGGAAATCATTTTCATTGCCTCTCTGTGAAGTGGGACATGTCTTCATCTCCCTCCCTGCAAAACTTTGCAATGGTCACTCACAATAATGCTGACAAAGCTCACTACTAAATTATGTGAGGCAGGAATTTCCCAGAGGGAGTAAAGTAGGGGCAGGGAAGAGCCTCTCTGTTATCTCTTCCAAGGCCTCCAAGGCTGTAAGCATTGCACGGAAAAAGCTGCATATCTTGGAGCTCTGCAAGGAGTGAAGTTACCAGTAAGTTTGGCTCAGCTTTTCCCTCTTTTCAAGGAGGCACAGAAATGGAGTTGAGGGTCTGTTGTGTTTTCATCTCATGTTCTGAAATAAAAGGCAACAGTGACCCTGCCCTTTGTTCACTAGTTAGCCCCTTCAAGCAACTACGGAGTTAAGCCACCCCGGAGTGTCAGTACAGCATTTGTTTCATGTAATCTCAGGATTTTACATAGCTCCTGTCAAAACATGGCCATACTCATCTGCAGAAAACACATTTCACTTTCACCCTCAGTGTTAAAATGTACCTTGAGCTTGCCAGAAGAAGATAACCTGTGACTGAGCCTGTGTTAATTACAGTAATGGTAATTATAGAGGACAAAACATGAGCTGGGAAATGGGATATTCTAACACACATTGCACTAGGGAAGTTCACTTCCTTCACTTGCACTTCCTTCAAAAGGAAGGCTCCAGGTGCTGTGCTCATGTGTCTGTGAGGGACAGGTGGCCATTGTGGTCTGCTTTGAAGTTAGGTCCATTTGATGATTTACCCATCGCTTGGTTTGCTGTTTAGTACAAGCAGCAAGCAGTTTGCTGCATGAGAGGCAGCAGTCTCATGCTTTCTTAAAGCTTTTGCAATGTTCAGCTTGCACAGAAAGAAATGAACACAAGCTTGAGCTGTTTTTCAAATAACAAGAATAGTCTTCAAACACCAGGTTTTCTTGGAGGACCAGAGAGAAAGGGCTCTGGATTACAGTCCAAATAGTGGGAGTTTCCAAGGGAGGTGCCCATCCCTCTGCCAACAGGGGAAGCACGGTTAACTGGTGAGTCTCTGAACTTTGCCAAGGAGGGTGCGTGGGCAGCTTGCAGACCGTGGGGCTGCAAGGCTGCGTCCTCCCACCGAGCGGTTGGAAGCAATAGGGCCACTTGTAACACATTGCAGGGAAACGAGCTGGCAACGAAAAGCCAGGGGGAGGAGGACACAGCACAGGCATGTTCGTGGAGACACAGGCTTCTCGCTGAAGAAGTGCTCGAGGGCTGCGTGTCCTCCTCACTGGGCATCTCCCGCGAGCAAGCCGGGCTCCTGCAGCAGGCAGCCCACTGGCCTGGGCTGTGATTCAGCAGAGTAGAAGTGGGTGTCAGCAGAGAGCTAGTCAAGCACAGAGTTTTACCTCATCCTAGAGTAGTAGCTAAAATAGGTCAAATGAATCACACCCTAAAAATGCCATTTCTCTCTGTTGGCTGTCAGGGGAAATAAGGGTGACTTGCTCAGCTGTAGACACCTACACTGCACAGATCAAGGGCAGGATTCAGTTATATTTAGGCATCTAAATGATGTGAGCCTGGTATGTAACCTCTTATTATGGACAGTTTGGGGCTGGTTGCTGCAGCCAGTGGAGCTCAGAAGGGTACAGATCACCCTGGCAGTGACACCCACCGGATCCCTGGACAGCCTGTGCCCTCACCTCCACACACTGGGTGGCTCTGTGTTGACTGTGATCTGGCACAGGTGAAGACGCTGATGTTTAGATGTTTATAGCAGGTGTCCAACCCTAACCCAAGGGCTAGAAAACACCTCAGTTGTAACAGCAGGGATAAAAGCATTTCCATGCTTTCTCAGTGTGTTATGGCAGTGAAATGTGGGAACCACTACAAAGAATGTGGACAACCCAGAAGTGTAGAGGTGTGCAGGAGAAGGGGAAGGAAGTAGCACAAGGATGTGCTTGCAGCACTTGAGCCCTGCCAGGTTCTGCTGCTCCTCCTGCTCTGCCTGCAGACGCTCACTTCATCCTCCAAGCACAACACTGTAAGTGACCTGGGTCAGCTCCTGACTCTAAGTCCCAGTCTGAGCTGCATTGGGCTATAAACCTTTAACTTGGTCTGACAGGTCACCTAAGCATCTGACACCAAAACAGTGTGTCCAGGGACCACACTTACATCAGCTGGTATCACAGGCTTAGATCATAGCTGATGTGCACTAAAACAGGAACGCCACTGCAGTCTCTTCCCTTCAGGTCAACCCTTTCATGTTGTTGCTAAAAGCATTGCAGAGCTGAACTGCGCAGCAGAGCAGATCCAGCTGTAGAAAAATAATTCTGCTGTTATGCACGAATTTACATTTCAGCCATAGCAGTCTAAAATTTATGTTTCAGCCATAGCAGTCCCATAGCCAGGTTTATCCTATGGCCACACAAACTCTTGCTTTGGACAAGGGCTGCTGTTCTCACCAGCAGCATCACCCTAACCACATGTTGGGTTCCTGTCTCCACTCACTTGACCTGACATTCCTAGGTTTCCATTGCATTTCTGAAAAGCAAGAGGCTTCCACCCACCAGCACATTTCATTCAGAGCCTGATGCACATCAAAAAGCAGTAGGAATCTTTCTCCTGGTACTGGTGGGCTTTAGCTACAGGCTGCATTTCTTCTAAGGTATCCCACACCCTTACACATCTCCAGCTTCTGTAAGCATACTGGTTTTGAAATGATATCCAGTCAGGACCTGTACTGCATTACATTTGACAATTTAAACACACATACTCGCCCCAGAGGTACAGGGTTCTTTGAAAAGGTTCAAGCAAAGTTTCTACAGTCTTAACATGCCAGTTGGTTTGCTCAGGCGTCTTTTAAAAATAAATGTTTTTCGAAGAAATGTGTGCATATTAAAGTGGGGGAGACGTGTAGTTAAGGATTACAGAAATAATGGTTTGCAATAAAAATTTGAACTTGTCACTTAAAATCTCTTTGCCTGTTCCCCAATGTGCAAAATGCAGTAATTAATGCTTGCCTGTATTTATTAAGCACTCTTTTAGCCCTGGATGAAAAGTCCCATATAAGCATTAAGTATTTTTACATCTGGGTACCTTGAGTTGCCACTTTCAACAAACTCTGCAGTTCATTTCAAATAGGCCCAAAAATTAACATCATTTGGTTGGTGACTCATTCAGGAGCCAATCCTGATTTGTTTTCAACCAAATCTTATCTATTTTTCCAGGTTCACTCCAAAGATTTGGCACTGAGAACGTGGTTTCATTTGCCCATCTCCTGCATGATATTGTTTTGTCTCCCAAGCCAGACAACTGAAACAGTTTTCACAGGACAATAATTAAAAATACAGGGATTCCTTTTAGTTTTATGGTCACTTTCGTGAGTGACTTGAACATCTAGCGAAAGTTTCCCCTGCCAGCTGGCATTCCGTAGCAGTTTCACTGTCAGTTTAAGGCAGTACAAACCAGCAGGGCCATTAAGAAGAGGCTCCTCCTGTCCCTATCACCCCAGTGCTGCCACAGCCATGCCTGAAGCCAGCAGTTTCTAAAGTGACTCCCTGACTGTGATCAAACTGGGAAAACACATTCTTGCCTTTTTATTAACCACTCCCACAGTTCAAGCTGCAAAGTGGCCACTCAGCTTCTTCATTCCTCACTTTCCCTATTCATAACCTGTGGTAGCACTTACATGCACACAGGTGTTTTTAGTAAGTTTTCTCACGAGCAGCACTAAAACCTATCTGAGATCAAAACATATAAGGAGTTCTAGAAGTATGTAGAACACAAATTACCATACTAAGCAAGAAGTGGTTTGGTTTTAAATCAAAGACCTGGCAGAGGTTAATATGGGAGATGTAAAAATAGACATATGTCTTAATTGTACACTGTACCTCTTGGATTAAATCCTCTAGGTATCAATCCAAAAGCCTCCATTTCAGGGACTTCATTTTCTTCCTCATTGGAGTTGTTTGATGGGAGGGCTCTTCTCCCATTCAGAGGTTTCTTGTTGGTGCTCGTTGTTTCAGTCATCCTGTATTAAAAATTTTGAAATACCATGAAAGAAAGAAATAAGAAATGCAAGGAAAAAAGCAAACATGAGCCAGTGTGGCACATATAAGATAGGAGAAACCAAAAACTGTGCGGGGTGCTAGTGAGCTACACATTTTTAGACTCACATAAATAAAAACTGAGAGGCAGAAAACATCAGTCTAATGATGGAGTACAGCTCTCTAAGGATTGGAAGGCATTTTGTGTTTGTCAAAACACATGAATAAGAGAAGAAGGAGGGCGGGAGAAGGAGAGGGAAGCCTAACACAGAAGTCTTTGCCTAGGCAAAACAGGCATTAAAAACATTAGGGAGTTTCAGGTAAAAGAACTGGAAAATCATTCACTCTCCCACCCTCCAAAACAGCATTATTGAATCCAAAATAGCAAATCATATTTCCAGAAAGTGCATCACGCTACCTCCCCCTAATAAAAATGTCATTCTAAGTAATACTGCAATCATCCCAAATACTACAGCCTACAACAGTCTGTGGATGATTACTGGAGAATTGTATTTTTGTCCCTATGCACACAAACACCCAATATCTAAAGGGCTAACTCTTGCACCCAGAAAATTCACTTTTGAGAGAGAGAGAGAGAAAA